TATATGGACCCCATTGCCTATAGTTGACCTTCTACCGAAAATATCAGTCAATCCACAAAGAAATCTCAAACGAGTATACCATTTGACTTTGCGAGAGTATAAAATGGTCGGTTACATCCAAACTTAGCCCTTCCTTACTTGTTTTCTTTTAATATTTTGAGTAAGCCGGACAGAGATCTACAAATAATCAAGCGTAAAAGTGTTAAAGCTTAGTGTAATTAGTTGCTGAAATAAAAAAACATATTAGGGAAGCGCCATTCAAGTGTTTATAACATTATAAAATCTTATACAAATAACGGAGATCTAAATATAAAACTCAGGTCGGGCATACCTAAAACTTTGACGCTCTACGAAGAACGCAATGAAATCGTTACAGTTAAACAAAATCCGCGTATTTCAACTGTAAAGATTACGAATAATCTAAACGTTGAATTTCAAAAAAAATGTAAATCCTCAAACTGTGAGAAATGTGCTGCACAAAGCTGGTTATTACGGACGAACTGCGCGACGAAAACCATTCATATCAAAAGGAAATAAGAAAAAGCGGTTAAAATTTGCTAAAGCGTATCTTGATAAGCCAGATTCGTTTTGGGAGAATGTTGTACTCACCGATGAATTAAAATTCAATATTTTTGGGTCGGACGGAGTAATGAAAGTGTAGAGGCGTGCCAATGCAGATATGCAAGAAAATCAATTGATTCCTACAGTCAAACATGGTGGGGGAAACATCGTGATTTGGGGGTGTATGGCTGCATCTGGCGTGGGTAATTTGAAGTTTATTACAGATAAACTGGACAAATATATATATCTGAACATTCTGAAGGAAAATTTGCGTCCAAGCGTGCAAAAACTGCCTTCCGACAGCAGCCGATTTCTTTTTCAACGACCCAAAACATACGTCGTATCTAGTCCGCGAATGGCTTTTATATAACTGCAAGCAACTCCAAACACCAGCACAATCACTGATGACTGTACGATATTGACGTCGGGCAATGGAATCGATGGCATGTGTTCAAAAGTAAACGGCTACCTCTCCGATCTTTCTCGCTTCTTCTCTGCAAGGAACCTAACACTCTCCCCCACCAAATCCACAGCGACCATCTTCACAAATTGGACGAAGGAGTACAGACTGGACCTGAATATCTCAGTCGATGGCACGAAAATTCCGACAGTAAATAACCCTAAAATTTTAGGCGTCACTTTGGACAGTCTGTGCTCTTTCACTCCTCATACGACCGCGATAACTGCCAAAGTACAGAGCCGCAACAAAGAAACGTTGTTGGCAACATACAAGGCAATCGGCCGGCCGGTCCTTAATTATGCAGCCGCAATATGGTCACCTGGATGCAGTGACACGCAGAAGAAGAAGCTTCAGACCTGTCAGAACACTGCGCTCCGGACTATCACGGGATGCCTCTTGATGTCTCCAATCGAACACCTACATAGTGAGGCCCGTATGCTTCCGGTTGAGGAACATAATGAGCTCCTCTCCAAGCAGTTTCTGCTGGGATGTTTTCG